CGAAGGTTGCATTGTCATAGCCCAAGTACTTTCCGCCGGCTGTAGTCGGCCGGGTGGCGAAAACTCTGTCCTTTTTTGTGAACAATTCTTGGACTTGTTCCCAGGCGCTGAGAACAAGCAATTCATGTTGTCCAAGCTTCAGGGAGTAGATTGGTCCGTGTTGATCAGCCATGGCTCCGAGTATAAGTGCAACTGGGATTTCAGAGCGCAGCAGAGGAAGGTGACCTATTAAGGGCCATGCTCCCGAGGGTTGAGGGACTTTAGGCATCATGATCTTTTTGTTGGTTGTGTTCTTCTTAGTGTTTGCTATTGCTATGATTCTTAAGGCACCATAGAGAATTAGAGAAGCTAAAACTGTGTGAATGATTTGGAATGGAGAAATTGTTGACTCCATGGTGGTGACTGGTGGGAGAGAGTTAAGTGGTGGTAAGATTGTGCGGAGGATATGTAGTAGATTTTGGGATGTGCATTTATAGGAGGAGAAGGATTCTCTCCCTCCTAATTTCTCTCCCATTTCCTCATCTCCTATTTGAACGATCATGGTTAAACCACATCAACATCTTATATTGATTTTTTTATAAAGAGGAGGGGAAGAAAGAGAATGGGAATAGGAGGCTTTTGATTGTATTTGTAACAGAATAAAAAATCAAGAAGATAATGAAATTGAATCTGTAAATCACAAGCACAACCATCAATAGAAGTAGCTTCAGAAATTGTCCACATTAATCATTTGGGTCATTATATGAAAAATCTTCATTAAATTGAGGGTATATTTATCAAATCAATTCGTCCACCTAAACTGATGATTTCTTCAATTTAACGGAGATTTTTCTACAAACTAATTGACGGTGAACAATCTCAAAATCCAATTATATCGATTTAAAAAAAAAAAAAAAAAACCCATTTAAGGGTGATCAAATTTATGGTCGATAAGTTTTCTTTCATCGTTGACGTGGACAAAGTTGACCAATCTTCTTTAATACATGTGCAAAGCATGTAGGAATAAGGATCATCTTCGGATTCTTTTGTGAGGATTTCGGATATCCGTGTATTTTTTTCTTTCATTGTACATCGTGTGGTCAAAAACCATTTTAAATTTTATTATTTAAAATTGAACATAAATAGTATCTAAAGAAAACTTATTGTACAATGTACGATGAATAAACACGATTTACATATCTCTGGAATTCTCATAAAAAGGATTTGGAGAAGATTTGGATTCAGCATGTAGCACCAACGACATTCATATGAGTACTGTCATTGTCAACTTTCATTTTTCGTTTCTTTTCGAGAAATTATTTGCATGCATTAATTAGCATGAGAAATGTCTCCACCCTACCACAAATCATTCATAAAAGGTGGTCGGTAATTTACTACATATAACATCACTTCTCTTTATACTTCCACGCTTTCCATAAATATTTTCATATATGTCTTTGAGAGCAATTTATATAAAACAATTTCGGGTTCGAAAAGAGCATACTAGTGGGACGAAGTCCAGAAATTGGCAGCCATGTTTTCTTTCCTGGGAGATTTCCAAGTGTCTGAGTTCCCCCCAATCGTCAATTACTTCATCATTGAGACCTTCAGATTCTGTTTTCCGGGAAAGTACAAGTTGGACTTTGGATTGAGCCCATTTCGTTGATCATGGCCTTGCCACCCATCTCGTAGACAAATAATTATCTACCCAACCCTTTAATTTGGGTTTAAATTTTCACTTCAAAGCTTGACTAGCCTGACTAATTTTTCCGTGCTTAGTATTGTTATGTGGTGCTTGGAAATTTGAATTCACTAACGTTATAATATGTATATCTTTTTTTTCATCATACACATCAGATTTTTGAAGAACTAAATCATATAAGTTGTTTACTTATTCATATGAATGAGAATAAAAATCAATGTGATTACTAAAATGTCCATATTCTAGTAATCTATTTTATATGCTAATTCTTGTTTGTTTATTTATCTTTTGGTGAAATTTTATTTTATTTTAATTTTGTGAGAAAAGTTGTAATTCTTTTTATTTTTTATTTTTTTTTCTCTTTTGAGAGAATATAATTTGCATGAGTCCCACCAAATTTTTTATTTCTCAATATTTAATAGCATCGGAGTAGATGTCGTTGTCATAATTCAATTTCACCTTTTTATTCCACTTACCCGTACATGGACATGACATAAATGTTGCCCCACTCTAGCACTCCCACCTTCATTTGACTATTGTGAGCATTGTCATTGTCAGCTCCTTTGTTTTTTATTTCTTTACGTACAATTATTTGTATGAATGGGTGAGAAAGGTATCTTCCGCCTAACAAATAGTGCATAAAATTGTGGTTAGTAATCTAGGACATATAACATGAGACTCACGTTTTCGCCCACATTCATCGTACATGTTCACACTTGGGTGCATATATATTATTACTTTATATCAATACAGTAAAATGCACTTTGTATATTCGAACGTCTTTCGTCTAGCCTAACCGATGAGGGTAAATAGGGAAACAAGTTATGTAAGAGTTCAATTGTGATATGAAGTAAGTTAAAAAGAAAAACTAATGAAAAGGGCTTCAAAACTTTGAGTTTTAACAAAAAACTATCCGATAACTTTATTTAAAGATAAGGACAAGAGAAAGAAAAAAAAAAAACAAAAAAAAAAAAAAAAAAAAACCTAACTAAAGGCGTGCAAAGAGCACCCAACCAATCCTTCAGTTGCATAGCCCTTTGACATAATCCAAGCATATTTTATTCCTCTAAAATTAAAATTTCAAATTGAAGTGGGTTTCGTTCAATTCAAAATCACATTTGGGGTGGTATGGTTGAGAGGGAGTCGGTCAGGTGTGAGTTGGGATGGTTGGGGGTAGGGGTGGGACAACATCATTGACAACATCGTTGGACTCATCACCAATTTTTCTAGCATAGGTATTGCGCTATTAGCCATGCATGACTTTAACGGCCTGGACGTTCATCTCTATCATCTTTTTTATTTTTTATTTTTATAAACAATATAGTATCGTTAAATTTCATAAATAGTGTAGTACTTGATAGGATTTTTAGCACTTGTGCAAATACGGTTAAAATCACTTAAAATACTTACAAGAATACAAGGTAATTGTAGTATAGATACTCATGCAAGGTCGTTGTCCCCAAAGATTGTTTGACTAATTTGTAATTAAACTAACTCTTAATTAATTATTAAAACATATTTTATCAAAGATTTGAGATTTATGAATTTAAAAAGATTAGGTAAACAATAAAATAAGGGTAAATTACATAATACCCCCTCCGATTTGAGGTCTATTACAACCCCATACAACATCTTTAAAACATTTCACTCTCATACATTAACTATGATTTTCATTTCATTTTAATACAATCGTTAGTCAATCCGTTAAATTGATTGTTAAATAATGACATGGAAAATATAAAATCTATTTTTTAATGATGTGGACGCCACGTGTTTGCCATGTGTACAAAATGTTGACATGGCTGACAAACATGTGCCACGTGGCATAAAATAAAAAAAAAATCTTAACATATTAAAATAATTAATTAAAAAATAAAAAAAGTACAAATTCTTCATCTTCCCTAGCCCTTCTCCCACCACCACCCCTTTGCCCATCTAAGCCACCCATTCTCCTCTCCTCCGTCAGCAACATCTTATCTTCTCCTCCCGTCTACAACACCTCATCTCCTCACAGCATGTTGTCGAAGTAGCCCCAAGACGCCGAATCCTTCGTTGCTCTTCCAAAGATGTCTCCCACCTTCGTTGTATCTCATCCTCCTCTTCTGATTCCCTCGAGACCCACAACCTCGTCACCTACAACATTAGCGTAGGAGTCACCATGTTTGACAACTAGGTCCAAGTTATATTCGTCCAAATTCGAAATTTACCCAAACCTAGGTCTAGGTTGCAAGGCCGAAGTCGGCGTCCCTCCGCCTCCCTCCTCATGCTACTACAGCAACCTTAACGACATTTCCCTCGCCCGCTGTCTGCAACTCCTAGATCTGGAGGTAAATTTGGGGGTGGGATTCAGTGAATTTGGGAGTGGGATTTGTTCAAATCTAAATTCCCCAAACCCAGCGCCTCCACAAATCCATTTGGATTGCTATTTGGTTTTTGCTCGATTAAGTACTGCAATTTTGGGGCGGATCTGAAGATTCTGCATAATTTTTTTCGTCAGAGCAAGTAGCTGGAGAAGATAGGGATGATAGGCTAAGAAGAAGTTTAAAAGATGTGGGCCCCCTTGTGTTTTTTAAGTTTTGTCTTATATTAGCTTTATATTTAAATTGGTACTGATTAAATGAATTTTTTTAATTTTTTTTGTACACATGGCGAACACGTGGTGTCCATGTCATTAAAAATATAGATTTTATATTTGCCACATCATTATTTAACAGTCAATTTAACTGATTGACTAACGGTTGTATTAAAATGAAATGAAAATCATAGTTAATGTATGAGAATGAAATGTTTTAAAGATGTTGTATGAGATTATAATAGACCTCAAACCTGAAGGGGTATTATATAATTTACCCATAAAATAAATCTGAAAGTTTGGAAATAATGGCAGCAAAGAAGAAAAACGTTTTTAAATTAAAATCAATTAAGGGAAATCTAGGGTTTAGCCGTCACTGTGACAGTCCTATGCAATTCTATCAATTACTTATGAATTTCCACATACATGCTTTGAAGGTTAGGTTTTCCTAATGCATATTTTCCTTGTGATGTTCAAGCGAATATGTATATCTAACATGCAATCCGTCTGTGATGTTCAGATCAAATATAAACATGCAAGACTCATTAAGTTTCATGAAAACCCTTTGAAAAACCAAGCAACCCTTAAGAGCGTGATGTTCGCCTTAAGTGAACTTACAATTACTAATCACAAGAAGCCTTCCTCAATTTCAGGGTGATGTTCCAACAGAAATTGCATCAAATTAATTGTCTAAATATCCTAATGGTGATCAATCATTAAATATATAGATAGTTTTAATCGCGGTGATTAATAATTCAAAGCAAGCCTGCATCCCTTCATAAGCAAGTTAATAAAATTACATATTCATGCTAAAGGCTCATGGCTTCGCCCTAGCAAAAGAAATTTGTTACACATACTCATAATAAAAATCAAAGAAAATATTTTTAGAATGAAAACACCTTGAAGTAGAAGATCTAAAAGCCTTTGAAAACCCTAGCAAAGTTCTCTGTCTCCAAAGTTGAATAAAAGAAAGCGTAACCCAAACTAAGGCTGACTAAAACCTTAAATATATCCCTAAAACCAGCGGCACAATCCCTGAGAACCAAGTCTCTTATTTCCACTAGGAAGCTAACTAATAATAATAATATAACTTAGAAAATAGAGTTTTAATTAAACTAGGACAATCTGCACATAAACTGTCCAGCCACGTTTTAGCCTCAAATCTCCCCTAAATTCAGCCCCTAATAGCTTGTTTTGAAGATCGGGACATTCTGAACACATCTCTAGAAGGCCATGAACCCATCCGAGGTCATCTTGGGCTCCAAAAATGCAATTCAAGCCCAAAATGTTATTATTCCAACATCTTTATTCTATTGCCAGAAAATAACCGCCTGGTGGAAAAGTCTGATATTTTGACACGATCAAGCTAAGTGACTCACGAACGTCCTCCAATTGGAATTACTACAAAATTCATCAATTTGACCATGTTTTGCTCCAGAGGAAGTCGAAAGTCCTATAATGGAAATACAATTCAACGTATCAAAATTCTTCCAAAATATTAACCAAAATATACTAAGAATAGGGTTAAATATATAATATAAAATTCACTCATCAAAATACCTCCAAACTTAGCTTTTTGCTTGTCCTCAAGCAAAACAAGACTCAAACAAAAATAAAAACTTAACAAACTAGACACCTAGCTAAAACTTAACCAAGACAAAACTTCCACCTTCAAGTTGCAATCCATAGCAAATTTTAAAAACTAGAACATTTTTCAAACGATCCACCCAATCCCACCACAGTGTCTAAGCTATTTAGAATCAATTAGAAAAGAATTCACAAACTTCCGTTTGTGTAAAGTGAATCATCAAAGTTAAAGAGACTCGACGAAAACCCTTACCTCTCATCCCTATTATTCATACTTCACATACTTATATAATCATTCTTTTTTTGTTTTGTTTTCGATTTTGTTGTTATATAATATTTTTTTCCAGTAACAGTAGTGGTCAGGCAATATCGGTTCCCTTAAACTTTCGATCCAACCCATGTAGCGAGCTTTAGGTCAATGACTCCCAAACCACTAGGGCTTTAGGGCACTAGGTGTAGAACACTCCTAAGGACTTATTAACTTGAGTTGAAAAGGCTATGAAACCAACTAACCACCCTGCCCATGTCAAAACTCTACCGTTTGATTCGAGAATCACTGCTGATTAGGCAGAACTAACCTGGTTACTAGGCAAAGCCTCGGGTGAAACAATTATTACTTTGTAACACATACTAACTTTATTTTATATAGAACAAAAATTAAAATACACTTAGACAAAAAGTAAGTGTTTCAATCTCACTCCCCACAAACCATGTTGGTGTGATGTGCAAATTTCAAAGTATAATTCATGAATTAGTGTCTAAGCAACGATAAATAGAAAAGACCCTACTGTGGGATTAACCCTTATCATGTCCATTTGTTTTAATGTTTAAAACAAACTATGGATACTAACTTAAAAACGAAAATTTTAGACAAGACTCAAAAATTAAAAATCTAAAATTTACTTTCCCACCCCCAAACTTAAATCACACATTGTCCTCAACATGTGGAAAATAAATAAAAAAAAACGATAAGATAAAAACAATTGGAACTAAGATGAAGAAACTAAACTATTCAAAATCATGAAAAGAAAACGAAAATGAAAAAAACTAAAAGGAAAAGAAGTAACAAAAAAAAACAAAATAACAGAGAGAAAAATAAAGAAAAATAAAGAAACTAAACTATTCAAAACATCCTTCTCAGACAGACATGGAAGGCTCTAGATTTGTACAAGTGTCGTGCATCCCGATGGTGAGTTCCTTAGGATTCCAACTGAAAAGCTCCATCAGGTTCCATTTCTCTTAGAAACCAGTTCTCTCTAAAATGAAAAGAACTCTCCTCCTCTATCTTTAGAAAATCTGAAAAGATTCTCTCTAAGCTCTTCCCATTTTCAAAACTCTCAAACCCAGCCATCATTTCAAACCTCCCTTTCAAAACAGCCCATTCTCTTCCACTTCTTCATTTCTCTGAAAGAAAAACTCAAGAGCATTCTCTCTCTTGCTTCATTTCGGAAATAACACCCTAAGAATCAGCCTTAGCCGTTCTTCTCAACCAAACCTTCCGTCTCCCATGCCTCAAGCCATCATGGATTCAAGCTCAGATCATCATCACCGGCAGTGTCTGAGATGCTTAGACCCAAAGATTCAAAGTCCAATCATGCAGATTGAGACCATTTCGAACATGCAACAGTAATCACCTCCCACTCTATGCAATATATATATTTACTAATTTTGTTTTCCCTGTGATTCGTCCTTGTATGAGCTCACACTGAAGGTCTTATGTGGTAGGGGCTGGAGATCCGTAAGGAAAATGAAGATATATACCCGAAGAGTCCCCCCAATTCACGGATCTATGAACTCGAAACACACAGATCTACGAACATAGATTCGGTATAACCAAGGTCTTAAATGCCGATAATATCGGCGAAATATCGCTGATATTATCGATTTTTCGCGTTACCGATATTTTAATAGGTATCCAATTAGTTTCGTCAAAATATCACGATATTACCTATAATATCGAGATGTTTCGCCGAGAATATCGAGATTATACCAGATCTGTTTATTGGGTTGGCTGAGGATTTCGTTTCCAACGAAGAGGTACCGAATCAGAGTCTCCGGGTAAAAGGGGACGACGTTGGTGTGGACCCAATGGTCGGCGAGCGTCTGATTGGAGGCAGTGAGGATTTTGGGGTTGGCGTCGTAGAGCTTGACTCGCTTGGCCTTGAGAGACTGGATGAGCTTCACCGACTGCGACGGTGGAGGGAGGTTGTTGCCCAGCTGGCCATAGTTCACACCCACCTTGGAGGCGAGCTCCGCACCTGAAAAAATCAAAAGGGGTGAGAGAAAAATACCAAATGAACAAAACCCATGTCGCAATTTTTGAGATTTTGGGGAAGAAACTTACTGGAAATGGAAACTGAGAGGCAGAGGATGAGCAGGGGGAGAAAACCCAACTCCATTTTTTGTGGATTTTGAGCTGCCAGAGTAACTAAAAGATGAGCTTTTCCTAATTGCGTGAGTTTTAGAGCAGAAAGAAGTGATCTGGAGCTCAAAGATTGGATCTTTGAGGAAAAAAATAAGAGATAAAATGAAGGAACTAGGGCGCACTGAGCTGCTGCTACTGGACCCTTGTATAAAAAAGGAAGGAGTGAGATGTTGCAGGTGTTTGAGGAGTGAAAGAAGATTGGGAATAGAAAAGATAAAGAAAAGAAGAAAGGGATGAGAGAGAGAGAGAGAGTGAGCAGATGACTTTATAGAAAAGATAAAGAAAAGAAGAAAAGGACGAGAGAGAGAGAGAGAGAGAGAGAGAGAGAGAGAGAGAGAGAGAGAGAGAGAGAAAGAGAGAGAGTGAGCGGATGGAAGGATGGAAGGAAAGAATAAAAGGTTAGACTGTTTTTGGGGTTTATTAAATTATTATTAAGTTAATGAGGCTTACTATTTTGCTTGGTTTCCATCAAACCCAAAAATACTTGAAAAATTGTGTGTTTAAACTTTTTTCATTAATTACTACATATTTTCTACACTCACAATGTTTGCCAGCTCGTTATATAATCAACTTAAATCAGTTAAATCCATCATGCAATGAATTTCCTTCTAATTTTTTGTGATAAACTAATAGATAATTGACTAAATAAACATCCTGCAAAGTTTCAATAAAAATTTCCAAGTTTTTCTTACAATTTCCGTGGTTTCCATATTATTTTTATTGATATCGATAATATCCCGATATTTCCATCGATATTTCCGTGTTTTTGGACTACCGATATTTCCGATATCATCGATATTTAATACCTTGGTTATAACTCATCCTCTTTCAATTTATTGCAAGTTTAATCTTGACTACCCCCAAACTTGAATGCTGCAATAGTGATCTGCTAAGTTTATATCTAATGGTCAAAGTTTGTGTGTTTGTAAATTCGAATCACAAAATTAACTGGACCTACTGGGAAGCTAAGAGAAAATCCTAAATGCACATTTGCATAGGTATAATCCCGAACTTGCTCCATATTTTCTTCATTGATTTAAGCTTTAAGTAACTGTTGTGGTTGATAGTAGACTTGCTGTTGGGTGCATCTAGTACTTGCATTTCCGTATCTTGTTTGTGCCTGGAATGTTTTGAAAGCAACATGCATATTCGTAGACTTTTGTATCAGATTCACATAGATATTGCTAGAAAAAGATAAATTAAAAACAAAATATTTTTGTAGTTTTCAAATTTTTTTTAATTTTTAATTTTTAATTGCATAGTAAGTGAAACAAATAATAACGAAATTAACAACCATAAAATACTTGACCAAATTTAAAAGAAACTAAAAAGAGTAGGGATAGAAAATTGGGTTGCCTCCCAACAAGTGTTTTAGTTAACGTCCATAGCTAGATGTTGCCGAAGGCTAGTGATCAAGTTATTTGTTCCTTCAGAGTTGATGACTCGCTTGCACTAAACTTCCTTATAAATGGCTTTAGTTAATACTTCTTGACCTTGAGCATACAACCCTTTCCCTTTATTTCAATATCCACGTTACCATTTTGAAAAACCTGCATAACCATATAAGGGCTTTTCCACTGAGACTCTTGTCACCCTGGAATTAATTTAAAACTGGAATTCAACAACCACACCTTTTTACCAGTCTGTAATTTCTTAAAATTTGGGTTGCCTTGCAACTTTTTATGTTTTTTCTTAATGTTAATCGGTTGGACATCATGTTGCACACTTTGTTGCTGCATTTTAGGACTTATGCAATCAGAAATCAAATTTGGAGGCTTTATGGACAGATGGTCAGTTGATGATCTGGTCATAAACTCGGCACTAGGTAAACCATCTAATGCATCAACATGCATGCATTCTTGCTTTTCACCTGGATGTGTGGTAGCTTCAAACAACCTAAAAACAACCGTTTGATCTTCAACCCGAAATGTTAGTGTTCCAGCTTCAACGTCAATGAGAGTACCAGCTGTTACCATGAAATGGTAGCCCAAATGATGGGTGTTTTCAAATCCTCATCCATGTCTAGAACCATAAAATCAGCTGGCAAAAATAAGTTGTCCACCTTTACAATAACATCTTCAGTGACCCCTCTAGAATAGGTTATTGAACGATCTGCCAATTGAATAATGCTAGAGGTTGGCTTCAGCTCACCTTCACCTAGACGTTTAAACAGAAAATAAGTTGTCCACCTTTACAATAACATCTTCAATGACCCCTCTAGGATAGGTAATTGAACGATTTGCCAATTGAATAATGTTGGAGGTTGGCTTCAACTCACCTTCACCTAGACGTTTAAAAATAGAATAAGGCATTAAGTTTACACTAGCTCCTAAATCAATTAAAGCACTATTACAATCAAAATTTCCAATGGTGCAAGAGATAGTAAAACTCCCTGGATCTTTTTTCTTTGGAGCCAATTCATGCAATAAGACAGCGCTGCATTGTTCTGTTAGCATAATTTTTCTGACTCAACAAGCTTTCTTTTCTTACTGCAAACATCCTTAAAAATTTTGGCATAGGAATGAATCTTTCTAATGGCTTCCAACAATGGCAAATTAATATGAACTTTAGCTAAAGTTTGCATAAAATCTTTTAATAGCTGATCATTAGCCTTCAAAATCAATCTTTCTGGGTATAGTGTTGGAGGCTCATAAACATGTTCAGGAGTTTGCACTGAGGGAATGTTAGATTCTGTCAGGTTGTGTTTTGCTGCAATTTTAGTAATTGTTTTTTATGTTGGCTGCACAACGCTAATTTCTTCATTTGTTCAGTTGTTATAACTATTTCCGGATCTCAAAGTCCTTATTGCACAACAATCTTCTGTACCTCTTGGATTTGGAACTGTTTGGCTGGGAAATTTCCCTTTTTCTCTTTCTGTGATATAACTTGCTAACTGCCCAAATTGTTCTCCAAACTTTTAATTGATGCTTCAACATTTTGAATTCTTTATTGCTGCCATCTATGAATGATTGAGTTGTGGCTGCCAATTTAGCAAGTTGATCTTCCAAAGATGGTTTGGATGGAATAAATGGTTTTTGTGTATTCTGGAATGGTTTTGCATTATTCTGATTGTCACCCGATTTGAAATTAGGGTGATCCCTCCATCTTATATTGTAATGAGTTGCATATGCATCATTCCTAGGCCTTTGATAGCTATGCATCATATTAACATGTTGCTTAACAAGCTCCGGGTAGGATTCTTTATGCAAGCATCCCATTATATCGTGCTTAGCCATGCTGCAAATACTGTAAACTGTTGGTGTAGGTGGTTGTTGTGTAGAATTTGCTATTTGTTGTAGAATAATATCAAACTTTGCATCCATTTTCTTCTCCATTTTTTCTATTTGTGCAGACATGTTAGGAGAACCTGCTGATAACTCAAAAATACCCCTTTTCTGTGAATGTTCTGCTGCCCACTATTGAGATTCTATAGCCATCATGTCAAATAATTAAAATACCTCCCTTGCAGATTTATTTGACAACGATCCTCCAGTTGAGGCATTAACATGGCTTTTAGATGTAGGATTAAGCCCATCAAAGAAAATATTCATTTGTGTATCTGAATCAATATTTACATGTGGACACTTTATGTACATCTTTGTATATCTCTCCTAAGCTTCATAGAACTCTTCATTAGGCTTTTGAGTGAATGCCATAATTTCCCTCTTATAATTCATTGTCTTGGATGTTGGATAATGTTTATTCAGAAATTTTGTATGTAATTGTTGCCAAGAAGTAATGCTATTAGCCGGTAGAGTGAACAACCAAATTTCCGCCTTATCCTTCAAAGTGAAAAGGTAAAGACGTAACTTAATAGCTTCGTAGAAAAACCCCTAATCAAAATATTTTTGCAACCCACAAGAAATTTTGCAATATGTATGTTCATATCCTTGTTAGGCAGCCCACGAAACGTTGGTAAAATTTCAAGCATGTGGTGCTTGATTTCGAATGTGTCTCCCTCTTCTTGGGCATGATAGACTATACAATTAGGAACATCATTTGCACGGGCAGCCAATGACTATCTGAGTGGTTTGCCTGTTGCAGGTATTGCTAACATCATTTTAACCTCGTTGTCCACAAATACAGCAAACAAATCCTTCAGAAATGTGTTATGCAGTGAAGGATCAAATGCTAAAACTGTTCTCTATGCTGTTTTCGTAATAACCGTTCAAGTTCTGGGTTAAATGGAACAAATTGTGTAGGTTGTGATATGGTGCTGACCATGCACAGATTTCAGCAATAAAAAAAAAACGAAATATTTTTTTTAATTTTAAAAAAAAAATGAAAATAATTAACTAAGAATATGATAAAAACAAATTAATTAAAAAAATCCCCGACGTCGGCGCCAATTTCTTGATAGGATTTTTAGTACCTGCGCAAATAGGGTTAAAATCACTAAAAATACTTGTAAGAATACAAGGTAATTGTAGTATAGATGCTCATGCAACGTCGTTGTCCCCAAAGATTTGTTGACTAATTTGTAATTAAACTAACTCTTAATTAATTATTAAAACAGATTTTATCAAAGATTTGAGATTTATGAATTTAAAAAGATTAGATAAACAATAAAAGAAATCTTAAAGTTTGGAAATAATGGCAGCAAAGAAGAAAAACGCTTTTAAATTAAAATCAATTAAGGGAAATCTAGGGTTTAGCCGTCACCGTCACAATCCTATGCAATTCTATCAATTACTTATGAATTTCCACATACATGCCTTAAATGTTAGGTTTTCCTAATGCATATTTTCCTTGTAATGTTCAAGCGAAAACGTATATCTAACATGCAATCCGTCTGTGATGTTCAGATCAAATATAAACATGCAAGATTCATTAAGTTTCATGAAAACCCTTTGAAAAACCATGCAACCCTTAAGAGCGTGATGTTCGCCTAAAGTGAACTTACAATTACAAATCAAATTACTTGTCTAAATATCCTAATGGTGATCAATCATTAAAATATATAGATATTTTTAATCTCGATGATTAATAATTCAAAGCAAGCATGCATGTCACAGCCCGTCCCGGGATTTTCTTATTAAGGACGTGAAATGATGGATTTACCCTTAGCGGGTATTAAGGTATGTGTGTGACATTATTTGGTTTAACTTTAGATATGTTTGGGAAGAAAATAAATAAGATGAGTTGGATTATTAAATTTGGTTTTTGTTAATTTTGGTTAGGGATTTAGATGATGGATGGTGTGGATTGAAATGGACCATCTAAACCCTTACCCTCTTTCTATCCCGTAGCTCTCTCTCTCTCCTCCATCTCGAC